CGACAATAAAACTACACAAAAACAACACACCTATTAGACCCATAATCAATTGGAGAAATGCCCCAGCATACCAAATAGCAATACTATTATCCAAAACACTACAAGAATACTTACAATTGCTAAACACATATAATATACATAACTCCATACAATTAATGAATGACGTAAACACCATTATAATAAATGAAAACATAAGATTATGTTCATTTGATATAGAGAACATGTATACAAACATACCTAAGAAAGATATAATGAACATAACTAAAAACATACTACAACACAATCATAATACAGACATAAATACACAAAGAGAAATTATGTGCATATTGAATACTATACTAGACCAAAATTATTTTCAGTACGAACAAAATATTACAAACAAACAGATGGTTTAGCTATGAGAGCTCCAACATCTGCAGTATTAGCAGAAATATACATCCAGAACATGGAGCACGCACAAATATTCAACATATTAAAAAATCAGAAAATAATTGGATATTTCAGATATGTTGACAACATGATTGTGGAATTTAATAAACTGCAGCGAACGATAAATTTCACAATAGAGAAAGAGAACCATAGATCTATAAATTTCTTAGATATAGGAATATATAGAGAAATGGAAAAGTTACAATTCTCAATCCACCGAACACACTGCAACGGACATAATAATACAAAGTGACTCGTGTCACCCACAAGAACACAAGATATCTGGTATTAAATACCTCATAGATCGAGTAAATAACTACCCCATCACTAGAGTAGCAAAAGATAATGAGATCGAAACTATAAACAACATACTCATAAATAACAAGTACAACACAGATATAATTACAAAACTAACTACAAATAACAGAAAACAAAACAAAAAAAAGCAGAACATTAAAGAGAATTCAGAAGAACAAAAAACAAAAATGAAATGGGCAACATTCGCATATATAGGAAAAGAAATAAGAAATATCACAAAATTAAAAATAGCATTTAGAACTAAGAACAATTTACAACATATATTAAAATCAAGACCACAAATAAATAAATATAATAATAGCGGCATATATAGTATGAAATGCCTAGATTGCCCCAAGGAATATATAGGACAAACCAGGAGGAAATTTAACCTTTAAGTGCTGAAGTGCCCCATTTGTGCCAGTCATGAGTAAGGTTGTCGTGGCCAAAGTACCCCGTTTTGGCCAGTCGGGCATTTTAACTCCGCTATTGGAAGCGAGTGCACACGCCGCTAGTAGAAGCGCATGCACAGTCCTAAATATTTATTTTTAAATGTAGTAATTACCAGACAGACTTTAGTAAATCCCTAATAGAGGAATTAAAATAATACCTAACTGAACAACAGCAAATAAAAATATACGTATGAGTTATGTCAAAACTTATCCATGCTCCAGTAATTTTATTGCAGATTCTGCAGATAGCTATGTTAAAAATATATTGTAAAATTTGATATACATACCTTTTTTGTTGTTACCTGCTTGATGTATATATAGGTTCAAATGAAACTACAGTATTCGATTTCACTACGAACGCACACAAAACAGATCATGCTCTGTATCTCAGCCACGATGCAGCTGTCTGTTCATTCAAATAGAAGGGGCAATAAGCTTTTGCAGCTCTAACGGAAGGTCTTAGCACTGAAGAAGGCACCCCTCTAGCTTTCTCTTGAATAGCCATCCTTTCATTCTTCTGACCTTCAGTCAAAGATTCGAAAATCTGAAGGGTGTAAGCAATGCCAGCAGAAGACCAAATGATTTTATTGCTTCCATCTGTTTTATGACACCAGGGACTGCTAAAATTTGTCAGGTGTTACAAACAGAAATGAATTTATAATGCAGAACAACTCTGTGAAGAACTGGGAAACCATTTTTGCAGTATGCATCAAAATTAAAA